TTGCTTCTGAGCTTGATGGCCGCTTGATTACCTTCAAGCCTTTAAGACCCCAGACGCTATACTTTTTGATAGCCGGGCACCATCAGCCTTCTTCGGAGTCTGTAAATCTTAATGGGAGCTAACAGCTTTATGTTTCTCCCAAGGAGCAGCTGGTGGGCTTGAACTGCCAACCTTGTAGTTAGCAGTCCAAGGCTCACCCAACAGAGCCACCAGGGCTCGTTGATGAGGCAGCTAGTATTGTATTCTCAGGGTTCCTGGTTGGTGTAAATGGTTAACACCCTTGGGTGACCTAGCAGTCTACTTCACACAAATCGGCTGTTGTAAACCTTATGGAACACTGTTCAGTCTGATACGCATGGGTTACCATGAGGCTGGATTGACTCCACGCCAACCAGAATAGAATTGTATCCACTCTGCAGAAGCTGAGGTTGATGGAATTTGTTCAGGGTGGAACAGCTGATAGGTGCTTGACTATTATCTCAAAGGTTGGTGGTTTGAAAATACCCAGAGGTGCCTCAGAAGAAAGGCTTGGTATGCTGCTTCCAAAAACACCATGGAGCGGTTCAATGACAGCTGACTTGACAGCAGCTAAGAGTAACCTAGCTGTGAGGTGGCCAGGCCAGAGCCAGACATCCAGGATAGTTGGGGTTCCAGAGATGTGTTGAGAGCCTCCATCTTGCACAGATTCCTTAGTCTGGGGCTGCTGGGGGATCTTGGACAAGTTTTCTAGATCGCAGATTCTTTACTGATAATGGTGACACTATTCTTAACCCAGAGTTGTAAGAACTAAGTATGCTTTTCCAAGTATGCTTGACACACCACCATTCCTAGGAGGTACCCAGGATATAAGAGCCTCAGCCATATAGGCAGACAAGAGACCTGGTCTAATTAAGGTAGCAAATACAGGAAGGTCCAGGCAGGCATCTCAGGACCAGTTAGGAAGTGATCAGAGACTAGACTGGAAGATCAGAGGGTCACTAGAAATGAGGGGTAGGGTCCATTGGCTCCTGGGATGGGGTCTTAGAGGATGGCTTGCTCTTGAAGAAGCAGAGAGAGAATAGAAGACTTCCAGTGGGGTTGTATCTTCAGTGCCTTCCTGCTGGGTGATGGTTGGGTGGAGGGAGAAGCGACCTCCCTTGGGGATCTTTGACGAGAGGGGAGCACACATAACAGTGTACATAGACCCCACTGGGCAGGGACCCAGAGTGTGTTGGCGTGGGAGGGCAGACATTGCCAAGGGCCAGACAAGTGGAGCAGTTGATGGCCATGAGTCATAGAAATGGAGCCTCCTCAATGAAACATACAACTTTCCTCTAGTTCCTAAATGCTTCCTCCTCCCCCACTATCATGATCCCAATTCTACCTTACAAATCTGGCTAGACCAGAGCGTGTACACTGGTACAGATAGGAACTGGAAACACAGGGAATCCAGGGCGGATGATCCCTTGAGGACCAGTGGTGTGAGTGGCGATACTGGGAGGGTAGAGGAAGGGTGGGTTGGAAAGGGGGAACCAATTATAAGGATCTACATGTGACTTCCTCCCTGGGGGATGGACAACAGAAAAGTGGGTGAAGGGAGACATTGGACAGGGCAAGATATGACAAAATAATAATTTATAAATTATCAAGGGTTCATGAGGGAGGGGGGAGCAGGGAGGGAGGGTAAAAAATGAGCTGATGCCAGGGGCTTAAGTGGAGATCAAATGTTTTGAGAATGATGAGGGCAATGAATGTACAAATGTGCTTTACACAATTCATGTGTGTATGGATTGTGAAAAGAGTTGTATGGGCCCCTAATAAAACGATTTAAAAAAAAACCACATAGGAGAAAAAAAAATGCAGCCTCTTCAGCCCATGTCTGTCTGTCTGTCTGCCTTGCCCAATTTTCCACCCTGTGTGGAGATGACTGTCCTTAGGGACTAATAGGAGTTCACTTGAGAATTTGTTAAAATAAATTTTTGGTTTGGCACAAGTGTAGATTTATAGATTTGCAAAGAGTGTGCAGATTCTCCACCACTCCTCTTTGGCTGTGTAACCTTGGGCCAGTAAATCAGACTAGTGTTCAATAGTGCCCACATACCTTCCACTGGGTCTCCCCTAACGTTGACATGGTGTGCTGCGCAGCATCGAGCTAAATCGGTCCATTACTGTTAACGTCTCCAGATTTTACAATGCTGCCCTTTTAACTGTTCTGCAGTCATGCAGAATGACCCACTGCATCTTACTCTTATTTTACCTCAATCTCCTGTGGTCTGTGACAGTCTCTATTTTTCTTTGCTTTCAGGTTGTATCTTTTTGGAAAAAAAATTATTTTTTGAAATCATTTTATTGGTTTTTTTTTTACACTCTTATAACATTCCATCAATCAATTGTATTAAACACACTTGTACATGTGTTGCCATCAACATTTCTAAAACATTTTCTTTCTCCTTGAGCCCCTGGTATCCGCTCCTCTTTTTACCCCCACCCTCCCCCACCTCCCATCCTTGTGAATCTTTGATCAGTTAAATATTATTGTTGTTATTTCGTGTCTTGCTCTGTCCATTGTCTCCTTTCACCCACATTTCGGTTATTTGTCCACCTGGGGGGTGGGCTATATATCCAACCTTGTGATGGGTTCCCCTTTTCTCCCCCTAACCCTCAACTCCCGCCCCCACCATCTGCTACCTTCCTGATATTGCTGCTCCCACTACTGTTCCTGAGGGTTTTATCTGTCCTGAAGCCCATGTGTGGGAAGCTCTGATCTGTACCAATGTGTGCACTTCAGTCTAGCCGGATTTGTAAGGTAGAACTGGATCACGGTAGTGGGGGTGGCGTAGGAAGCATTCAGGAACTAGGGGAATGATGTCTGTTTCGTCACTGCTCTACTTCACCCTTGTTGAATTGTCCCTTCCTTGTAATCCTTCTGTAGGGGGATGTCCAGTTGTCTAAAGATGGGCTTTGCCTCTCCACTCTTTCACATTGATATAATTGTTTGTTTTGGATCTTTTGATACTTGATAGCTGATGATGATCACACAGGTTGGGCTTATTTACTTCCCTGCTAGATAGCTGCTTGTTTAACATCAAGCGTCTAAGACCCCAGATGCTTTATCCTTTGATAGCCGGGCAACATCCACTTTAACATTTGCTTATGCACTCCCTTTGTCTTCAGCGGTCATGTCGAGAAGGTGAGCATCACAGAATGCCAGGCTATTAGAAGGGAGGCCCAAAGTTCATCTACTACCTTAATACTTAACATATAAATATACGTACAATTCATACTCGAGTATAAGCTGACCCGAATATCCGCTGAGGCACCTAATTTTACCACAGAAACTGCATTAAGAATGTGCTGAAAGGGAGCGGGGTGGGAGGGGAAAAAAGGAAGAGGAGCTGCTATCAAGGGCTCAAGCAGAAAGCAAATGTTTTGAGAAGGATGATGGCACCAAATGTACAAATGTGCTTAATGCAATGGACATATGTATGGATTGTGATGAGTTGAATGAGCCCCCAATAAAATGATGTTTTTAAAAAAGTGCTGAAAAAGCTCTGCTTATACTCGGATGTATATGGTACATTGGCCTCTATTCCTTTCATTATGAATTAGCATATTTATGTATATACCTACCTATAGATATACCTCAATAAACAGCTTTTGCCTCTCCATCTTTCTTCTCATTTTTTCATGATCTGGGCAGGCTTGGCTATCAGTGTCTTGTAGAATGTCCCCCATCTGGGTTTGCAGATGTTTTCCTCATGACTAGACAAAGCTTCTAGGTTTTTAAGAAGATCACAGAGTGGGGAGGTTCCCACCTTAGAAATTATTTTTCTCACAGTTCAGGAGGCTAGAAATCTAAAATCCAGGT